CAGAGGCTCCGAGGGGCTCCCTCCGGCTCAGAGATCCTTTTGTGCAGGCGCAACGCAGGTTGCTCCGGGAAAGCTCTCCTTTGTGAAGGCCAGTCCTGCACAGAGTATTAAACTGGCGTTCTACTCCTTGGCATGCATTTGCACAGGGGAGGCGGGGTGGCAGTTGGGTATTTCAATCTTGTTTTCAATTATAAGCACTTCATTGTTGAATGTTGCTGGTTTATTATGTGATAATTAAATATGAATGATCGTGCAGTCATCCTGCCAAAGAGGCTGTAACCGAATGAAACCAATTCCTCTCGTCTTGCTGAATGGCTTTGGAGGCGAAAGGAGTGATGTATTTGCTGTCCCTTATTTTTGCTGTCCTATTGTTTCAGTATCACTAGCTTCAAAATGGCAAACTAGGCAAGTAATTACAGACACAAATCAGAGCAGGGATCAGCGTGAGGTCAGGGCTGCTTTGCTTGTAGCCCAGCTTTTCTCAGCTGCCTTTTGCTGAATAACAGAGAAGCACATTGCTGTTGATTTTGTGAAAAAGTGATTTTTTATTAGTGATGGAATGAATATTTTGACAAAGTTTGAGCCCCTGCGTGCTTTCAAGCAGGGGCTGAGCAGCCTCACCGTGCCTGGAGCAGAGCCTCCTCTGTGGGTGTTGCAATGAATGAAGGGCCAGTGGCCAGAATGGGCGCCACGGTCGGCATCCATTATGCCGTGGTTGGTGTCCGATACGCCACAGTCAGTATCTGATACGCCACGGTCGGCATGCAACGTAGGCAGGATGCAGCTTGGGGTGACTACAGTGACTCTGTTCAAAAACCTGGCATGTTAAATGAGGTACAACTGTAGATACTTAGGCGAAGTGCATCAGCAAAGCAAATGTGTTTTCAGCAGAGCCATCCTGATTTATGGCCCTGGCCCTTAATCTGTACATCTTACTCTTGCGGGGTGTTTATAAATGTGAAGCAATGCTCAGTGGAAGTCAACTGCTGAAAAATGGATGCAACCACGTGTTACAGTCTTCAGATGGTGCTAGCTAAAAATAGTCAATCTTTCTTGAAGGAGAGCTGTAACCGAGCGCTACTTGCCTACCAGGAGCACCGGTGTTTTGCACGGAATGGTGCTGGGATGGACAGGGCTTGTGGGCAGTCAGTGGGAGCAAGTTCATGTCCGTGGTGCTCCTACACACTTGTCATCCATGGCTGGGGCATCTCTGGAGGACTTTGCAATATTGGGACACAAACAGGGCTACCGCCGCTGCCACCACATGGCAATGGATGTGGACACCCACATCCATCATGTGGATGTCCCAAAGCCATGTTTGTGCACAGTAGTTTGCTGGATGCTGTGTGTTGTAAGAAGGAGATTAGTTAAGTATTTTTCCTCCTTCCCCAAGTGTCTCTTATGCTAAGTTAACTAAGAGGCAAATCCGCAGTGGTAATTCTGCTACCCAGGAACATACCTTGGTGGGGGGGGAACCCAAACAAAACCCACAAACCGAGTGCCTCCTAAACTGTATGCTACTTTCCATTCCAACAGTTTGTTAAAATAACATGTAGAAATGACTGCTGAAAGATTTTTATTTAGCTTAGCCATATCCTGTAAATAAGATTCAGCCCAGCAGTCTGGCTTGATGTAGACAACCGAATAATAACAAAAACAAAACAAAGTAGTGGTTTTAAACATCTCTGCTGTTGGCTGCTGAACACCCACCTCTTAAACTGGGCTTTTTAAGAGTGTCTTGAGGTTGCATACCAAATCTCAGCTTATCATGTACACTGAATTTAACCCCTCTTTGTTTATTAATTTCTGCATGTCCTATTGTAAGTATTTATTGAGACTTTTTTTTCTAGCAGTGGATTATTCTGAGGTATGTGACTGAAGAACATAACACACCACTACGGGTATTTCTGAGTAGATCATAGACTTTTTCTTTTTGGTCATTTTCTTGCTCAGATACCAAACAAAAATCAGTATTTAATCAAAGCAATTTTTTATTCCCAGACTATTGTTAGAGGAAATAAGCCTCGAAAGGATACTTCGATCAACGGCCTGCTGGAAGAGTTTGACAATATTTCGGTGACACGATCCAATTCCCTGCGGAAGGAAAGTCCTCCCACCCACCACCAAGGAAACGCAAACCATGTGCCAAGGCACCAGGAGGAAAATGGTTATATCACGTATTCCCAGTACTCCAGTGAGTCAGACACTACAACAGACTATGTGGTGGAAAAATATCGAGACAAGACTCTTTACGGGGAAGAGGTAGACAGGTACTACAAAGGGAGCTATGTCGCCAAGCAGAATGGGCACATGATGAAGGTGACTTCCCGGGACATCTATTATTCAGAAGCGACGCCCCTGCAGTCAGACCTCTCCAGGTTCCTCCCAGATTACCACGCGCACCTGGAGACAAAACCCAAACCGCTGGAATACGGTGGCCTAAAGCTGGAGCATCAGCACTTCCTTAGCGGATCCTCCCTGGACTATAGAGATCCCTTTCCTTACACTCCATCCCGAGCATCGGTGCAGAGTGAGTGCCCTAAGGAGAGGCTGGAGTACAGCGACTGGGGGCACGGCCTGGGCAAGGATGACTATGACAAGAGGCCGAAGTCATCCTATGTGGACCCAGCGAGCCCTCAGCCAGCGATGAGGCAGAGGTCCAGGTCAGGCTCTGGTCTGCAGGAGCCGGCCATGCCCTGTGGAGCGAGCGCTTTTAAAGCGCACCAGCAAGGACATTCCTACAGCTCCTACACCTACCCCCGCTTGTCCGAAACCGCAGCAGGCATTCCCAAGGTAACGTGACGTCCCTGGTGACGGTGCTGCCAGGGCAGGGGTCAACCTCTCCAGAAGGGGAGTGCAAAAAATTAAGTGCATGCAAAAAAATTAAGGGCAAGGAGCCATGCTTGGGCACGTGATGCCAAACGTGGACAGTAACGTCCCCGGGAGCTGCGTGGCCGCCACTTGGCGGGTGTGAAAACCCACCGTCTTTACTCGGGTATCTGAAAATGGATGCTAGGGACCAGTGGGTTTATGATATTTATTAAAAGGCGGGTTTGGAGATGCCCAGTTTGTAGGGGTTTTACTTGGGATTCCCAAGTACCCCAAGTTGTTTGGAGGTTTTTGTGGTGTTAGGCGCTCATATGCCTGTGCAGATCTTCGCAGGAGGTGAGAAGCTGGTCTGGTTTGGGTATCAGATACTTTTGTATTTGAATTGTTACTGTGCAAGGCTGAAACCTCTGTGTTTTAATATTTATATTGTATTTATGCTATATTTATATTACAAGGTTTATTAACCCTTTGCTGCTAATGAGAGCAGAGGTTTTACCCCTCTTTGCTGTGTTCTTAAGAAGTGAAATTAAATCGAAGCAGCTTATCTCACCCAAGACATTTTAGATGTAGTTAAAAAAGGGTTAAGGTGCAAAAAAAGCATTTCAACCATGATATCTATGAGGAGCTCCTCTGCACAAATTTGTGGCCTGCTCTGCGTTTTCTAAGTCACGTGAGGAATATTACCCATACAAGCTGTCCTATCCTACTTGTAATAGTTGCTGTGACTATTTGTTCAGTTAAGAGAATAATGCTTTTCTTACACCTCTAGTCATGTAGCTACAACGAGGACCTGCTTAAACATCTCGTATTCTGCAGGAGATGTTTTTTCTTCAGCGTAGATCGCATTGAACATTACCGAGTTCCCCTAGCAACACGCGGCGAGATGATAGCTCATTTTTCCAGGGCTGAAACAGTCTTGGGTTGCTGTGACTTGCCAAATGTGCTGAGGTAGGTAGCTTGTTAGGTGGTGAGATCCACTCTGCTGTTTAATGGTAATCTGAATAGTGCATTTTCTTAGTGGCTCTGTGCACTGAGAACGTGGTCCTGTCCAGCTACAGACCCAGAAGTCATCCCAGGTCTCTGCAAATCCATGATAGCCCTGTGCCAGAGGGGTGCCTGTGTCTTGCTTAGGTTTTGGCTGCTGATCCTGGGGTGCAGAGTTATAACCAGTGCCCTGTGGTAAATGGGCAATGATGTGTTTTTGTTCTACTTTGCATTAAAATACAGAGCTGGGCTTTGGAGCTTGAGGATAAATTGGGCAGGGAGTAGAAAAGTTACCAGGTCTCTTTGCGTGCCTCTCCTGAGCCTGGGCTGCGGTGGGAGAGATGGATGTGGGTGGTTAAACTGTGCACCAGAATATGGATTCTGGAAGTTGTGAGGAAAGCCTGGGATGGGCTATCTGCCCTTTCCTTCACTTAGAGCAATCATTTTGTCAGAGTTCAGAAAGGAGAAGGACAAATCCTGTAATTCATAGACTCTCTTGCACCTGCTGCTGCCAGTTTTAAAGAATTCAATAGGGCAGGAGACAGAGGTATATTTTACAGGACTCAAAGCACTCCAGACACTTGGAAAAATACCCTGTTAAAACGCAGTAACAACTTCTATTAAAAAAAAAAAAAAAGATGCCTCCGTGCAAGATTCATTGTGAGCTGTTCCTCTCCTCAGAGCATTAAAAACACTCTTACAGTTTTGGTGTATTGAAACTTGATGATTCACTGTTAAATGCAGCAGTTTCAATTCCCAAAGCGGTCCAGAGCTCCTGGAAGTGAATAGCAGTTTCTTGTCTTGGATGATTGCTGAAGAGTCGTCTTTTCAAGGAGGCATTAGTAAGATAATGGTTCATCAAATGGGTTTACTAAGTGAGAATCAGGTCTCGAATCAAATACTTTACAAATGAGATTGGCTTTAAAGTATAATCAAGAGGGGGGAAAAAAGTAAGCTGTGAAAAAGTCTGCAGGCACAAATGTATGGCTTCAAAATGCATTCGGTAAAGATGTTCATTTTGGATTGTAAATGTGAAGAGCAGACTTACTTCAGACTTACCCTCATAAACACAGAGATTACGTCCAACTTTTGTTCAATGGAGTCTTCTCGATACAATAGCAAACCCATCCCACCAAGTCTGCTTGTTATACAAAGGTTCTGTCCTGCTTTTGGACACTCTATACTGCATGTTTTCCCTTTACCTTCCTCTTCATCACGGGCAGCCCTCTTAACTTCTTGCACCCGACCCTATCACTTCAAAGCTTTCCCTGTCATTTTTTGGTAGTGGCTCCCCGTGACCCTCTCCTGTTGCTCCTCCACGGAGCTTTGTTTTCTGCTCTCCTCTTCCCTACCTCGTACTGCTGTAACGTAGAAAAGGTCTCTCGCTAACCTGGCCGCTGCTCAGCACTGCCGTTTTCCTGCCGTGCGTTTTGCAGGCGCTCTGCGCCAGGAGGACATTTCCAGCCTGCTGAAGGCAGAGCCAAGCCTTTACTATCAGAAACCCTCTCCTTTTTTCCCTGTTTTCTCATTCACATACTGGCAGCTTTCCGCAAACGCTGCCTGCCTCTGCCATATGGAGTCTCTCAGATTTCCACTGGTGAAGCACCAGAGAGTAACCTTTCCCCTTGAAAATCACCATGTGATTTGCAGTCCATCCTTTCTGCACCTCTTTCTTTGGCAAACCAAAACCCAATCAAACCGAAATCTGTTTTACCTTTGCTGAAAGGCAAGCCCAACTCGCCAGAGGCTTGCCACTCCCCTAGGAGGGTATGGGCTCTGGCTGCAGGGCTGTGGCTGCCATCTCTGCCGCAGTCCGACTGCAGAGCATATGGGGACGCCCGCCCGGATGAAAGGCTGCCCGAGCAGCCTGCCTCGCAGGGAAGGTACGTATCCCCTGTGGGGAAGGTACGTACCCCTTACGAACGAGCAGGTGTTTCCACGGCGTGCGATGCAAAACGGGCATCGCAGTCGTCAGAGTGGAAACTGAAATGAGTTTAAACACGGTGTTGCGTCCACCTTTTAACAATGAAAAGACCCAACTGCCGACGTAGCCGCGGGTAATGCTGTGAGCCGGTGAAGCGACGCGGCCAGCAGCAGCGGGGTATTGCCTTGCACCGCGGCACCGTGATGGATGTCTTGTCAGAGCTTCGGCTGCTCCCTTGACCTGATCCTGAATGAGAGCAGGGGTGATTTCTTCTTTCCTTTGTAGTCTTTAAAGAATTTCCTTTCAGTAGGTAATTGCATTCAGTAGCAGAAATAGAATTATTAGTGGAATAGAGTGTGTTTGATTTTGCTGTGATGTGAAGCACTGCGTCAGGACACAGCCTCAGAGGAGAGGTTCAGCTGATTTACTCATTGTAGCTCCTTTTTTTTTTTTTTGGTAAGATTTCATGGGATTCGGGACATGAATGGGTTTACATTGTACTGCAGTGCTAACTTCAGAATCTTTCAAAAATCCCTAGCAAGCATACTGAACCCCTGAATTTTAATTTTAAAATTTCACCATGGAATTTGCTTTTGCCAACATGTTAAGCTTAGGATGTGCTCAGGAACATCAGGCATGGGTGAAACTTCAAGTAATTCATTAGTGTGGATTTATCCAGTTTAAATTTCTAGGCAAGGCTTTCCCTATCTCAATAGTTAAAAAAACCCAATATATTTTCAACCAAAGCAGTAATTTGTGTCCCTGTGTACATAGATATAGAGGACAGGGCTAGATTGAGTTCCCCTCCCTCCACCAAACTGTCGGAGCGCTTCTGTGTTAATTAGTTTGGCAGATACAGTGTCCTTCACGAAACTCATGATGTCTCTGACCCTCTTCTATTTTCTGGCTATACCTGCCTGACAGAGTAAGTGAAATTATAGCTGTAATCATGTGGATACTTTGCTTAAACAAAGCCAGCATCCTAGGAGGTGGCTGTACAACATGGTTGCGTGCTCGCTGGATGCTCCGTATGGCTAGTAGCTGTCAGCGTGCAAGTCTGATGGAACCAGACTCCAGCTTCACGTTTCCAAGGGAAATCTCTGAGCAGTCCCTCTGGAGACGCATTCCCTCTTCCCTGCTAAACCTCACACGAAATGAAAAGACGGGCACGCCCGGCTTACGCATGAGGTAGGAAAGCACCGATATAATATTGCACTCAGTGGCTTTTCTCCCCGCACCGAGGCCACTCCAGCTAGAAACTCCTCCTCGCTGTGCAGCAGCCTACAGTGATAAATTGATGCTGCGGCAGATTTTTTTTTTTTTTTTTGCAGTCTTAGCATAAAATGGTCAAATGATGTTCCACCGCAGAATTCAATTTCACAGTTCAGTTGGGTCCTTGATTACACTGCCAAATTCAGATTAATGTGCATTTAACTAACATGGATCAGGGACTCCTGGCCGGCAGCCAGCGGTAATAGCAGAAACAGCAGTAGAGTTTGCAGCTCTGTCCACCCCTGTGCACTGCCACCAAAACTGATTGATTAAATGAACTCATTGTCATAATTATTTGTAATTGTGCTACATCATGAGCCTGTGTCGAACCACCCCCCTGCCCTGAGATGTTCCACACGTCATCAGGAGTCACGTATGTTGTATCGTAAATGTGGAGATGCTGGGGGGGGTGGGGGGGAGGTGGCAGTGTGTTTTTGTTTTGGGTGGGGTTTTTTGTCTTCTAACTTTTTTTTTTTTTTAGTTTGGCTAGAAGCAAACTACTATGTTTGCAAATGTTAAGTATTCATTTTTTTCATTGTAAGAAGCTTAGAAAGCTTGGAAGAGAAAAAGAAAGGAAGGAATCTGCAAATGAACAAGGCCTCCCATCAGGATAATTTCCTCTGCGGTTGTTCCTGATTTCAGATGAAAATCAGCAGTTTTGTGACACTGCAGTTAAGTAGTGTGTCACTCTGGAAAATGATTTAAGAAATGGTGAATTGAATTAGGCTTCTTATCATACGCGTGTATGCAGTCACTCAAACAGCAGCTGGTAGCGAGGCAAGGCAGGAGATGACAGGGATTTCAGGGTCAAAACCCAGGAACTGGTATTTGAGAGGAAAGGCACAAATTGGAATTTGCCAAAGGGCTGCTGGTTGTGAAAGGGATGAATTCTTGGAGGAAATGGCCCAGAGAGCCTGCAGGGCACTGCAAATAGAGAGCAAATACACTTTTCACAGCATACGCTTTCATTAAATATTACAGTACCTACAAACAGGTACCTGGACAGAAAAATGGACCCGAGATGCACAAAAGATCTCGTTGTCTTCCCTGGCCTCATTTTAGTGCTGATGAGAGCACAGCAGCCCAATGGTCTAAAAATCTCTTTTCAGATACAGGGCAGCAGTGTCACGTTGAGAAGAACGGGTACATGCAGGAGCATGTTGTGCCGGCACCTGCTGAGGACCTCCGGGGTGCTGAAAACGAACCGAGTGGATGGACAGCAAGAGAGCTGTCTGTTCACCCGCGTTCACTCATCTGCTTTTGCGTTGCAGGTGGATTACGATCGAGCGCAGCTGGTCGTTAGCCCACCGCTCTCTGGATCGGACACCTACCCCAGGGGCCCAGTAAAGCTACCTCAAAGTCAGAGCAAAGTCAGCTATTCCAGCAGCAGCTACCAGTACCCGCTGGTCTACCACAAAGCGTCCCACTATCACCAACCGTCTCTCCAGCCCAGCTCTCCCTATATTTCTACCGCCTCCTACCCCAGCTCCCCAAGTATCACATCAAGTGCTTATCCTCCACCCAGCTGGGGATCCTCCTCAGACCAGCAGCCCTCTAGGGTGTCCCACGAACAGTTCAGAGCTGCCCTGCAGCTTGTGGTCAGCCCCGGTGACCCCCGGGAGTACTTGGACAACTTCATCAAGATCGGGGAGGGCTCCACGGGGATTGTCTGCATCGCCACCGAGAAGCACACAGGAAAGCAAGTCGCCGTGAAGAAGATGGATCTCAGGAAACAGCAGAGAAGAGAGCTGCTCTTTAATGAGGTACATTGTTTTGGGTGGTGCGAGGGGCTTTGCAGGTGGCAGGTTCAATGGGAGACATGGGCCAAATGGCAACCTCAAGAGCCAAATTAGTGTCTTTCTAAAAGAGGGGGAGAGTCCCACGTGCATGTGTGCTATATAAATATTGTATAACCAGACCTGTTTCAAATGAGCTACATCTCCTCCCGCTTTTAAACCTATAATGGGGCGGGAAGTCACAGTACACAGCTCAGAAATCCAGCAGCTGGTCCATGTGGCATATCAGGTGCACAGACACAGCCCAGCTGCTGCCTTCTGACCGTTTGCTGGTCTAGTTTATTCTTCTGAGATGGAGGATCCAAACTAACCAGACTATTCAAGAAGCATGTGCGCCATATTCTGGCATATACATGCTGGCATATTCGTCCTCCCTGCTTCCTCTCCTAACTGTTACAGTCCCGTTGCTTTCTTGATGGTTACTAAGCAAAGAGCTGACAGTCCCTTTTTTGTGGAACCATCTGTGTTAATTGCCACATCTCCTTTCCCGAGCGGTTGCAGCCAGTTCAGAACCCACAACTGCTTACGGAAGATTGTTTTCCCCACGTACATTATTATACAATTTAAGAACACTGATTTTCATTTGCCACTTTTTCACCCAGTTGTTTGGTGCTGAGAGTTCCTTCTGCCACTCAAAGAGTTTCTCCTTTTTTACTTCTTGCACCACTATCTTCTTTAAGGGACTATGTTCTCTGCTCTCTTTTTGAGATCACTTGTGAATATATGCTGATCAACACCAAAAACACTGCAGGTCCCCAGGGAAACCTCTTGTGAGAACGAACCTTTTGGTTCTCTCACGTGTTTTCTGTATTTTAACTATAAGAGGATCTTCCCTCAACACATCACAGACTGGTTTATTTAAAACCTTTAAAAACTTAACATTTTTTTAACTAAAATTAGACTAGTTTTTAACAAACTTCACACAGGTCGTCTTTGCATGGTCCATGACTGTACTGGGTATTTTGTCTTTATCTTGCCTCTGCTTGGGAGACTGTGCTGAATTGCGTTGTGGTTAGCTCTAACTGAGCATCTCTTGAACGGGAACATCTTGAAGCAAGTCCTACATGCTGTGCAGGACCAAGCTGCTTCCCTGCCATGCTCCAGTCGCTCGTGTCATCTGAAAATTTCTTTTCAGTGGTGCTGAAATTCCTGTGTCTACACACAGATAATGAGGCCTTCCCTTGCTGCTGTTTTCTATCCTGATTGCTTTTCTGATGTCCCTCAATACCATGCAGTCATGGTCGCCGCCTTGGCTGGGCTACTGTTACTGTAGTCCCTTTTAGATGTGGGATTTGAGTCCCCTTATGAATACCCCCTATATTGCCAGCTTTCTGTTAAAATTCTGTGCAAAGTACAGTATGCTGTGTGGTGAAGACGACTCTGATGGGTTGAACAATTGATTGGGTCAAAAAAAAAAAAAAAATCTCTGTTGTACTGACAGCAATGGGCAATAAAAAAGCAATGAGAGAAACAGTCCTGTTCCTGCAGTCTGAAAAAAAAACCAAAAACAATTATCTACCACTTACAATTTAGCAACTAAAGATTCTTCCTCCTCCTTAATGCGTTTATGGTGACTGTTATTTTTATGTAAATATATTGGTTTTGTTTATGCATTGGCGTAAAGATTAGGGAGGATGTGATTCATAGCAGAACCTTTACTAAGCACAAAGAGAAAAGTACAGTGAAAAAGAAGGTCAAAACAAGTGTCAGATAATGCTTGTAGCAATTCATGTGTCATCTTTTTCTTCCTCACAGGTTGTAATCATGAGAGATTACCATCATGAAAACGTGGTTGACATGTACAACAGTTACCTTGTTGGCGATGAGCTGTGGGTTGTGATGGAGTTTCTGGAGGGCGGCGCTTTGACAGATATAGTGACTCACACCAGGTGGGTTGGGTGTGCTGTGCCGGGGACCAGCTGCGTAAACCCTGCGGCGTAAGCCAGGCAGGAGGGAGATGTCACGGCTTCCCTTCACGGGTGCCTCCAGACCGTGCCCTCCAGACCTCGCCACGTGCTGAGGGAAGCTGGGTACCTCCTGGCGCTGTACATGTATTTTTATATATATATTTATTGCTCTATATTTGTATATACTTACAAAACGCATCTATACAAACACAAAAATGCATACATAATGGAAAATATATATAGCTATACACATACACATATTTATGTATATAATGCATGTATGTATATACATGTATCTATATGTATATACACATATTTTTACACATACTGTAGCATGCTCGCTTTACGAGCAGAAATAAACCACTGCAGATGAATTCCTGTCAGTATTGACATTTTTAAAATAGAAGGGAAAAGAAATATCTGAAAGGGCTTGCTTGTAGATGGGGATTTGCCAGCACTTTAGGAGGTAATTTAGCAGCTACATAACTTTTATCCATTACTTCCGAAAATGGGGTGGGGGGGAATCCTTTTTCCTCTTTGGTGATCTGTATCGTTGGGTTTGCTGTCATAACTGTGTCAGTTCTAAGGGTGATTCCCCTCCATACTCATAACCCACATAACCACGCTGTCAGAAATGTTAACTGCAGACCAAGCCTCAAACATAATGGAATAAGTATTTTATAGCAGAATGTTTGTGCTTACAGTAGAGCTTGTTCCCATTTTTCAGTTAATATTGTACCTTTAAAGAAGGCGATTTGCCAGCACAAAAGCTGTAGTGTATGGAACAGCTCTTCCTCTTCAGAGTGGAGACATTAGATTTTACAGCTCTCTCTACATCTGCTCTTCACTCATCTTTTCCTGATAAGCAGGATAGGGAAGAAGAATTCTTTATTTAACTTCTTCTTCTTGAATTAAAAAAAAAAAAAAAATTTCCACACTAAACCCGTGGGAATAGTATTTAGGTGAGCAAGAAGAAAAGTTTGTAAAAGAAAAAAGCTTGTAAAAAAAGAAAAAAGTAAATAAGAAAATTTGTCTTCTGTCATAGTTTAATGATGCTCTTCAATCCTGCCAAAATACAGGTATTTTATGTTTTAGTGTTTTCTTAGCTGATGTGCTGAAATAAATTACAATATTGCAAGTTGTTTGTTAACTACTGCTCCCCAAAACATTAAAAGCTCTATCTTAGATATTTCTGACAGGAGTTCAATGGCAAACAGATGTTCCCAGGACACCACTTCTTAAGAGCTGTCATCTTATTTTTTTTACTCGAAATAGTCTTTCCTTAATCTTCTGTGGTTTTTTTTTTTTTTTTTTTACATTGTGTGACCTTCCCTCAAAGATTTGCTAAAATACTGCAAATGGCACACAAAGCAGAAATCTCCGTGGGCATTTTTCTGTTTGCGTAATAGAGATGCTGGGGTCACCCAGCAGTGGGGCAGCGGGGCCTGGGTACACTGCCCATCCCGGCCATTGCGCTGTGGCAGACAGCTTCTTCCGGAATGGAGTTTTGTACACGTGCACAGGAATGAGGACTCTTGCTGTTTATTTTTCTACTGAAACACCCTGAATATTTTTATAGATGGCATAAAAGCAAAGAAGTGCTCTCAGAGAGCTACACCCAGGGCCTGCTGTTTTGTCTGCATAGTTAAGAGTATTTTTTCTCATACTTAGTCCATGCCTGTTTCCATCCCGGTAGTGGTTTACCCTCCTTGGCAAGCAGTGAGTTTACTGTAAATAAGGCATTTCCGTCCTTTCCCAGAGGGAAACGGGCTCACTGTATCAGGCTACAGCCCATAGTACACTCTGCTTTTTCAGTGCTGCAGGAAGATGTTCCCAGACCTCACTGCAGAGTTGTTCCTTGCCCCTCATCTCCCCTTTTTCAACTGAAATAGGACCAGAGAGTCGCCCCACAGTGCGGGGACGGGGACAGGGGGTGCCTAAAGACCTCCTGGCTGTCTGTATACTGATGTGAAGGGGGACTTGTGCCTCTTCGCTCCAACTCCCCTCTCCCACTGTCCTCGTTAACGCTCAGCTCATTTCTCTACCTTGCTGTTTCAGGATGAATGAGGAGCAGATAGCGACTGTCTGCCTGTCCGTCCTGAGAGCCCTGTCCTACCTGCACAACCAAGGCGTCATCCACCGTGACATCAAAAGCGACTCCATCCTTCTCACAAGCGACGGGAGGGTGAGTGCCCAATGTTTCCGCTGCCGCCTCTTGGGGCTGGCATGAAAATAGCTGTGCATGTTCAAAGTGACGCTAACTTTAAAAAATAAGCCAGGCCTGTGAAACCAAGGGCTGCAACCCGTAAGTAACTTGTTAGAGAGCTGACTCAGGTAAACGCAGGCCTGGCCTGGCCGGTGATTGACACCCCACTGCAGGGAGAGTCCCCTGGGGGGATAGGAGCCATCAAGAGGCGGTGGCAGAAGAAACTGTGCCATGTAGGTGATGCTGAGGCGATGGGAGACCTTCTTTTATGCTGCACTGCTCTGATGCCTCTCCAAAAATACTCTTTTTACTACATGTAGTTATCCTTTACTTGGCAAGTTTTTATGCATTTGCTGTGTTTTCCCAAGCTAGTTAGGAGGCTAAAGTCAATCTGTACGCGTAGGAAATACTCTGCATTACTGCAGAAACACTCCCCTGATGGTGGGAGTAGCTTTTACCGTAGGCACTCTTACAAGATGCTTGGTAATACCTGTCCCACACTTCCATTTACTTGGATGGGCTCCTGCTGACAGTGAATTATTCTTTCTTTGTGGTGTTAATGAGTGGGGAGAGAGGGAAACAAAATGCTGCACATGACCTGCAAGCAAAATAAAGTTTGCACGCAGAAAAAAAACATTACTTTGGCAGTGTTTGGTCCCAAAGCAATTATTATTTCCTTACAAGGAGAAAGGTGGGTTTGGGCAGTGGTATTTCTGGGCATATATAGCCGTAAAGCTTGAGGCACCTAAAACTTGGGGCACCCAAAGGCTTAGGTGGAGGGAGACAAATAACTCTGAAATAGAAAAACCTAATTTCTGCTTGAGTTAGCCACTACTTGTGGCCCCATTGGGATAATTTGAGTAGAAACTAATGCACTCATGGCCAGCGAGCCCCATAAGCAGGGCTTTAAAGGTTGTGCCAGCTACGCACCTGTCTAAAGCAAGACTTAGCAGGTTGGACTGAGCCCAAGAGCAGCTGGTCGGTCTGGAACCAAACCTAGACCTTCTCTTTCAGAAGGTAAAACTCTTTGCTTCCCAGGGCTGGTCCGATTCCCTGATCAAAGGCTCATCGTTATAATTTGATTCCCACTTCACCAAGGGAGAGGGATTTTCTTCCTGCAGCAGTCCCAGGCTGCTGCTGTTAATTCTGTCGGGGGAAGAAAATTCCACGTGCGTAGGAGTTTTTCAGTTGCGATTTCAATCCGTGTTGCTGAAATAGCATCTGATCTGCGCTCAGGATCTGCATACAGTGCCTCATTATACTCATTACTCCAGTACTTATTATCTGCATTGCAGATTTCTTCATGGCAGTGTGTTGTGCCATTATCTTTTTTTAGAAAATCGTCGTCTTTTATGTACTGGAATGAGCAATAGATATGCAAAACCTCTTGTGCTCCTACAAAAGATTGGGCTCTGCTGCCAAAATATGCATTATTTCTTCCATTCTTTATCCTGTAAACTGAAAAATACATTTAGCACAAAGAACTTGGCTATTATTGGCTTTGTTTCAGAAATACCAACTATCATTTTGTAATTCTGTTAAAAATAATACCCTTAGTTTTAAAAAAGTAATGTCTGTACTGAATCCAAAAGAAAACAGTGCTAATAATAAAACGCTGGTCTACACAATGCAGGGATTTATGCAGCTTGCTTCCCGCTTCAGTTGTCTTGGGGCTGTTTGGGCTCACGTCGCATCCCCAGGCGCCGAGTACATGATCGGATACATGGCTTAGGAACCATGTGTCCGGACGTGGGTCACCGTTGCACGGTGTGGTGTGTAGCTGGGCGTGATGGGGGTTAGCCTAACATCCAGGAATATCCTTATGATAGCTTCCAGGCCTCCAAATAAATACTTGGGGAAAAAAATCACCACTTTAGCCTTAAGGAACGAGCTGTTTCTGGAAGGAGGTGATGCCACTGACAGTCAGACCGGCTTGTTTTGGTTGGGGGTTGAGGAGTTATTCACCTTGCTGTTGTATACAGCAACGGGGAGGGGGAGGTGATAATTTTCCATAACTTTTGTTGTAAAAAAAACCTGGCATAAAAGTACACGCAGGCACATGATGCAGCAAGAGCTGCTCTCCAGAGTGCTTGTGTATCCCGTTATTGCTATTTCAGGTCACTGCCACAGCTACTCAAGGATTGTCCCGTCTTTCTTTAATTCCTGAGTTCCCAAGCAAAGGGGGCAGGCGGCCCTTATCTCTTGCAAACATTTTGGAAGAGCCTTCCCTGCCTTCCTGAAATTAGCTCCCCTGCTACGTAAAGGAGATGGTTTCTTTAGCGATTGTTCAGAGTGTGAGGGCCTGGTCCTGAAAAATCATTGGCAGGGCGTATTGCTTTCTGTGAGTGCTAGATCATACTTTCTGTGGTAAAAGAAAATGAAGTGAATGACACAGGTTTCATCTGTTTTCTGACAAACTCACAGATTGGGTACCTGATACAAATAATGGGAGTGATACATGTCACTTGCAGTATGTATAGTGTTGAGTATCAGTGTACATACATACATAGACTACAAACATGGGGTTTGTATTTATGCTGTAATAGATTCATTATAAAATACTGTTACCTCAGAATTTTTTGCTTTCCTTCTATTTTTTAAATAGTCTAAGCCACTTATTTATCATCTCTGCATCTTTTGCTGGTGGAGAGGCAATGCGCTACGGCAGGCGATCTGAGTAACGAGCACCACTGCCACTCTGTGCTACGTCTTGTCTTTGTCTTCGTTTTACTTAGCTGCGCGTTCCCAGGGCTGTATCACTGTCTCCAGCCACACTTCCAAAATCGCACTGCTGTCCTGTCCCAGGCAAACGCTGCAGCTCTGCCCCTGTCCCCCCAGCAGCAGCTGGAGAACATGCGTCTCAGAAGCACATGTGTCTTGGAGGAATCAGCCTTGTTATTCAAGAGGGGTTTTTACTTTTTCTTTGCTTTTCAGATAAAATTGTCCGACTTTGGGTTCTGCGCCCAGGTGTCAAAGGAGGTCCCCAGGAGGAAGTCGCTGGTTGGGACGCCGTACTGGATGGCACCGGAGGTGATATCCCGCCTGCCCTATGGCACTGAGGTGAGTACAGCGGGGCACTGCCAGCCCGCGCGGACCCAGAGCGGCCGTTTTCCCTCTGCATGGTGCCTTGGTCAACCCCACCGAGCCCTGTGGGAGCATGCAGTTCAAATACATTTACACAGATACGCTAAATAGCAGCAATTAGGTTTGCCCCCGAGTGCTACGTTGTGCCTTGTTTTAGAATATATCTCCAAGAAGTGTGGTTAAATAATGCCTCTGTTTAGAGCACTAAACAGTGCAGTACCTTTACATGTTTTAGCTTAGGGTGCTGTATTAAAGGAAACTGGAACTGGTTTTCACATCATGAAAGGCCCTTTGATAACCTTTATATCAAGCCTGAAGGCTGGAGCTACAGTTACAGGTGTCTACAGCTGCGTATGCCAAACCAGCAGCCAACTCGCACACCTGTACTGCATAGCCACAGGATAGCAGGGCTTTTGCAGACCTGCTGGCAGAGATCTGCTTTCATCCACCTGAAGCCCCAGATCCCCTTCCTCAGGAGGAGGTACTGGCAGAGGCACAGGCATGGTCTTGTAGGGTCCCAAACATGGGAGCCGCCTGGGGGGCTGGGTTGCCACCCTCTGTGTCTCCACATTGGCCCATTCCTTGCCCCCAATTTCTCATTCGGTGAGGTGGGTGAAGGATACCTGCGGGAACTATTTTAAGTACTGCCAAATGGTCTGAAAAAGAGGCAAGTCACAAGTTGTTATTGGAGCCCTTCAGATGAGACCAGAAAGAGCCTGTCGGTGGGGACCCGGCGGCTCCACAGTGCCGTACCCCATCCATTAGGAAGCTCTGAGGCACGGCACGGCTGCAGTGGCAGCCTGGGACGAGCAATCCCCTCTCCCATGCTCAGCCGTGGCAGTGACTCACGCCTCCCCAGCCAGACACACGGCTGCATTTTCTCCCCTGCGTGGTGAGGGGAGTCATCTTCTGCTTGATAGTGTCTCTAGTAACAGCTGCAGAGAGCAAACCTGCAAGCCAGATAGGTAGATTTACACACACGTATGTATACATACATACACATACATGTACACACAGAGGAGGGGAAATGAGCCGAGGCGGGAGACGCTTCATCTTCACATCGCGCAGCAGGGAGAGCGCCCGCCCGAGAGCGAGAGCTGCCTGCAGGCACCAGCGTTCACCCAGGATGTGCGGTGCTGTCGGAGGCGTTGCAGGGCTGATAACATCAGCTATTTTTAGCCCATTAATAACACTGATGGGATTATAAAGTGGCTGAATTTACGGCTACATTAGGTTTCCCCACCAAAAGGGACAGAGGAAAAAAAAAAAGGGATTTAAGCTGAAGGATAGCATTGGCCAAAGAGCAAGGGAGTATGAACTGGCCTGGGCTGTATTTGGGCTGGCAAATGATGGGAATTACAGCTGCTGGAGGATTGGGATTCTGGAGCAGCTCTGCAGCAGACCAGGACTGAAAAAAAAAAAAGAACAGGTTGGTGGTGGGTGTTTGTTTTTTTTTGAGCTGGAGCTGAATCATTTTCCAAAGGTGTTATATAATGTGTTACCTGTGCTTTCTAGACCTGGGCCTGGGCGTATTAAGTGCTTGCGTTTGCCTTGGAGTCTCAGATGGGAGTTCTGTCGCCTTTAATAGTCAGGGGAAATAGAGTAACGGATTTCACAGCAACTGAATTTTACTCTGCTCTCCCACTAGCTGCACCTTTCTGCATCATTGCTTATTCAGTGGGTGCAACTCAGTGCAGCTGAAATGCAGCATGGTAGGGTGCAGCCAGCTTCTCAAACAAGCATGCCTTAGCAGTGCTTCCAGTGGACACCACCTAAACCAGCTGTAGATGCAGGTTTGTAAGTCATTTCTAATTTATTTCTTCAATGCACTTACTGCTTGGAAGAAAAAAATGGCTGGTTTAAAGAGGAAGATTTATGGTGATGGCTCACCAGGCTCTTGGCTACACCAGGTACAACTGTGTGAGCCAGCTCGGAGGTTTGCAGGATCCCAAGCATTGAGGCTGTTGCCCCCCTCTCTGCACTACCAGCGGTGCTTATGAAGGGACTGTGTGTTGCAGGTGGATATCTGGTCCCTGGGCATCATGGTGATAGAGATGATAGACGGCGAACCTCCCTACTTCAACGAGCCACCGCTGCAGGCCATGCGCCGAATCCGGGATAACTTACCGCCTCGGGTGAAGGACATGCACAAGGTCAGACTTCCCATTGGTGATGAGGGCCTCGCACATCCAAAAGTTTAATAAAACCACAGCCATGCACTTGCATGCCCTAAGGATCACTTGCATCTTTAGGTACCACTGGGCTCGTGTGGGGAGGACGGGAGGTCAAAGCCACCAGCAAACCATAGCCTTTTTTGTGCCTGCCCTGGCTTTGCTTTGGCACAGAGTGACAGAGAAGGGAGCTGGGCAGAGCCTTGTGCTCCCTCTGCTCCCCAAGGACCAGAGCAAGCGGCACATGTGCCCTGCTGCTGCTAGGCTGGTACAGCCATGCTCAGTGCCAGAGTTTTGGGGTACTTTTGGGTACCTCCCATTTTGGCTGTGCTTCTAGAAGAAGTTAGACCTGAGCCCTCAGTGCGTTACTGCTTTTCTCACTGCATGCAAAGCTGTGCATAGTGTGCTGTTTTGCACCCCACTGATAGCCCAGTACTTTCAGTATTAATGGCCCATAGAAGATGCGTGGCTCTTCAGCTCGGTGCCTCTGTTGGCATAGGAAAGCTCAGCGTCTCCCTTGTCCTCCCAAGAGAAGTAGTGTGCACAGACCCAGTGTAGGCTGGAACAGGGTGGCCCTGTCCGCCCCTAACCCCAGCGTGCTGTTGCAGGTCTCCTCAGTCCTCCGGGGTTTCTTGGACTCGATGCTGGTGCGGGAGCCCTCGCAGAGAGCCACGGCGCAGGAACTGTTGAGACACCCCTTTCTCAAACTGTCTGGGCCCCCTTCTTGCATCGTACCCCTCATGAGGCAGCACAGGCACCGCTGAAGCCGGCGACCTTTTCGGAGGAAGTCAGTGCAGAGTCCAGATAACGCCCGTGCAGGAATCGTGGCGGTTGTGTGGGAACCGCTGGCAGGGAAGCGCAAAACCTTGTGGAGGAAAACCAGCCCTGCGGAAACCAAGCAGTGCGTAAGAACCCGAGGAGGTATTCTTGGGGGCTGCGAGGGACAGGGGAAAAATCCTGGCCCCCAGCTGGGTGGCCATGCTCTGCCGTGGACTGTCACTCCCCTGCGCTGTTGTCGTCTGGGCCATCCAGGCAGAAGGCACCAAATGCAAACAAGGTTGGAAAGATAATTAATAGATGATAGCACAACCAGTGTGAAACACCAGAATTTTATTGCACGCTACAGCACTCCTATTTGAGAAGAACACTTTTTTCTGACAAAAAAAAGCACTTTTTATCTCTGCCATAGCAGCGCAATGTATTTTGCAATGAATTTGTAATTTTCTGTACAGTACGTTTTGATAATTTGCAGTACTTTGTCATGTAACTTGTGTTAGTTGACGTAATAAGTATCTTAGCAAGAATTTGAGATGATAAAAAAGTTTCCTACTTTTTTAACCCTTTTGAAAACAGAAAAAAAGAACACCCCACCAACTTTAGTAAGTTAGAAGTTTTTGCAGATTTTCCGTAGGGGTGAGGAGAGCGCTTATCCTGCTGTCAGGGCAGCCTGAAGCACCACCGATAACCGATGCTTGTGGGAGCTCACCCTCTCAGCGCTACCGGTGACGCAGTGGCCATCAGAGCTGCTGCTGAATGTTAGCGGTCGTCAGGGTCTCCCTCATCTCTCCCTTTCTGCAGTGGTGGGAGCCAACGCATCTGGCATACCTTTGGCTCAAGGGTCTCTCTCTCCTCAAGCTGCGGTGGTCCCTTTGTTTTATGCCACCGCAAGCTCAGTTTTGTTAATGGCAAGAATCTCTGTTACTTCTGGAAGTGGAAAGGGATGGCAGGAGTCCATCTGCCTGCCCAGCAGGTATCTTCCAGAGCTCAAGCAGACCCTTGTGATGCGTTACGAGATGTTTGCCATATAGAAGAAGTTGTGCTGCTGTCTAGACCTTCTTGAATGTTGATGCAACGGTTGACTACTAAGGTACAATTTTGTGTTACTTGTTGGATGACTTTGCATGTTAACTGTAGGCCTAAATAGATTTGCCTTTAAAATTTTTAGAAGTGCTTCATAATAATTTCAATGATAAATGAATTCTATTTATTAATTATTAGCTCTTTTTAATTATGTATACTTTGAAAGCCATGTTTTTCAAGGTTTTTTTTTTTTCTTACTGACCTCATTTTATGATCTCATTTAAGCCAATTTTGGGAAAACACAGTTAGTTTCTTTCTTATGATGGAATTTCATAGTGACTAAATTGTTATTTATTGTAGTAAATTATAACCAAACATCTAAACCTGGCAGGAGCTGTCACTTGAAGTTCTTCCTCTGGGGAAAAAGGAGTTGCCAGTAGTAAAAAAGCTCCTTTAGTACTGCCCTTAAAGAATATTTGAAGGGACAGAAACGATTGAATGCGAGCACTGAATAAATGTTCTTAAATATGTGTGTCTTGCTCCCCGCTGCTTTCTCTTCCTACCCCTGTTTGCACATTCTGAGGCGGCACTAAAGAGAACGTGTTCAGGGCTCCCGCCACCCTCCCGGTACCCGCCTGCAGAGACCTGGCAGAGCGTGCAGCACCCATGGTGTTCTACGGTGTTTCTGGTCTGTAAGCTTGACAACTCAGGAAAACAGGCTGCAGCGGTACAGGCAGTGACATACAGGCAAAACTGTAACATGAGCTACAAAAGTAAACTTTTTAAACTATCTTTAAATAAAAAGGGGTTGATGACAATTTTTTCTTCAATATTTAGCACCTTTTAAGCTGTACAAGTGAAGAATTTTCTGCAACTTTCTTATCATTAGATACTTTAAAAAGCATTCATCAAGTTGAATGAAAGTTTTGTCAGTTTCCAAGGGGGTTTTGTGAACACCAGCTGCTGGTGAGACACATGCAAGGTAAATAAATTAAGAAATGCTTTACTTTTCAGTGTGTTGATCTTCCCATGCCTTGTTTTCCTTCTCTAAATTTGGCTCAGTTACACAGAACTGACCCAAGCAAATACCAAGAAAAAAAGAGAGTCCTTGTATATGTGCAAGATTTTTTATATGTGTGTGTCTGTCACCTGCTCTGTGTGCATGGATGTCTGTGTGTGGCTCTATGCATTTCAGTGTGTGTCAGAGTGGGGGTGTTGGTGTGACTGTATGTTTGTGTGACAGTGTATGTGTGAGCAGTGTCTCTGTCTCAGCATGCCTGTGTGTGTTCCTGCATGTGTGGGGGTGTCTCAGCCCCCTCTGCATGCATGGCTGTGTGCACATGTGTCCCTGCCTCCAAGTGTGTACATCAATCTTCATATGACTATGCCTGAGTGTCTGTCTGGGTGTATCTATGTCAGAGTGTGTGTGCATGCAAATACATACCTGTGTGTCTGAGCATGTGTGGTGATTAACAGCACTGTCTGCAGTGATGTGAAGGCCAGTGCTCCTGGCTGGGTTGTTGCTGGGAGCCCCCAGCTGCAAGGAAGGTGACAAGGGTTGCACTCCAGCACCACAGGACCTGGGACTAGGAAAACCACTGGATCCCAGACAAACCTGTGCCTACCTGCCAGCCACAGTGGGTCCAGAATCAGTGGCTGGACTTTGGTGCTGCCCAGCAATAGTTTTCCAAAGCAGGAAGGTAAGACCGACCTCAAAAAAGAAAAACCTCAGTGTCAATAAATTTTTCTCCTGGTTCATGGCGCCATCACTGCATAAACACCTGTGACAGATTCTGACTACACCTCTACCCAAAATTAAGAAAAACAGACTTAACAGCTGTCCTAAGCACATCAGAATTAACAAATAAGGACCAGCAGGTGGGACTAGGCTTAAGAGCCCCCACAACTGAAAAAACCCACCATCTTTGATTTGCCTTAAGGAGGAAGGTACAAAGGCTTAGGGTGTGCAGTGCAACAGCGTATGGCAAAACCAGGCAGCCTATGAGCTAAAAACCCCCAAGTGAGGGGAAAAATAATGGAGGGAAATAATGATTCCAGTCTGGTTTGTCAGGCTGAGGCAAAAGGTACAGTTAGTTAGAGCAGTATTAGCAAAATAGCCATTTCAACCCAAGGCACTGTGATTTAGCTATTCCAAGAGCTCCCCCCAAAACAGAGGGCATGCACACTTGTTAGAAAAATACACCACTTCTGCTCTGCACGCACACACACACACACACACAAATCCAAACCAAACTTCCATGGCTGCACACAAGCTGGCAATTACCAACACTTGAAGAAAACACCCAGACATCCCATTGTGGTCAGTCATACAGAACAGCAAATTTTGAGAAATTAGCAGCACACCCATAGAGCTCTGCATATAGAATCACAGAATCATTAAGGTTGGAAAGGACCTCTAAGATCATCAAGTCCAACCATCAACCCACCACCATGCCCCCTAAACCACATCCCAATTGACCACTTTTTCAGTAGCAAAATTTTTCCTAATATCCAGTCAAAACCTCCCCCAGTGCAAGTTGAGGCCATTTCCTCTAATCCTATCGCTAGTTACTTGGGAGAAAACACCCACCTCACTACAACCTCCAACAAGATCTCCCCCTCCTCTTCTCCAAACACATGTAGACACCAAGTCAACAACTCAATGGAAAGCCCATGTGCAGTTCTCCATGTGTCCCTGACTGTTTCAAACCCCAGGCCTGTTAAAACATTTCC